GCCTTTAGAGAGAATATTAACAAACTCAGAGCTCAGAATGTGATTAACCAAACACTTCAGCACAAGGGGCTTACAAAATATGGATTTAAAAACCCCAACATTTAATGAGAAACATCAAGAAATAAGAATCATTATCCTCAAGGGAACTACATATTAAATTTGAGATGACTCGTTAGGCAAATAACTCTTTTTGAGTTATTTGGGATTTAAAATAGCATTGATTCTTTACATGTTTACTTGATAAAAGAAAAGCAGCCATTGGGTACTCTGTGTTGACTGGGTTTTTTGTTTATTTTTTTTCTTTTTACTATTTTTTAAGATATATAGATTCACATAGATTCTCACAAGAATTAAGTAGGCACTATTTCTAACCCCATTTTACCCCGGGGAGATAGAGACTGCAATAGGCAATTCAACGTTACATATCTAAAATGATATGAGTAGTATGTATAGTTATAATACAGTTACCAAGTCTAGATATGCTTGGTTCAAAAATCCATGTCTCATTTATGATATTAATTAAAGAATTATGCATTTAAAGAATCATTACATATTAAGACAATCAGCTTGTCTTAATAAGGAACTGTCAAATTTCTCCCTTTTAAATCTGAATAATTCAGTATTCTATAAATGTATCTTGTTCAAGTTCAAACAATTTATATTGATCTGCTAGATTTAGAAGCTAATTTTGACTGGAAAGCACTTAGAATCTTCTTTTTAAATGTATTCAAGAAACAGAATTCTGTTTAGAGAAACTTGAAGGTACTTACTGTCAATATCCTGAAACATTTGTGTCACACATACACATTGTACATTTGTCTTTTAAAGTCTGGGAACTCATATCCTAGTTGCCTTTTACACAAGAAATATTATCAACATTTAGAAAGGATCTGAGCATCAAATTACACCTACAGGCATTGTTTTAGCTGTGTATAAAATTAGGGAAGGGGAGGAGAACACTTTGTGTTGATATAAAAGATTTAAAAATAATGTGGGATAAATTTTGCCTTAATGCATTCTTTATAATCCATATATGTGATTGAGAGAGTGGGAGAAAGGATACATTAGGACCAATCTCCAGAGGCAAAGGAATCAACGACCCTTGGTAGGAGAATGAACAGACCATCAGCGGAGTAATGAACGGGAAAAACAGAAATACCTAGGGCACCAAGATTATGGACAGTCTGTAAATTGTTGCATACTTCAACCTGATCTAAGGTGTTTTCCAAAATACATTTGATGCGCTGAGGGAGAGAATCCTGGCTAGAGGTAGGATGCAGGGTCACGTTTCTCAGTGTGAAGGTGCTGGGTCACTAGAAGTCCTGGCTAATTTGAGCACACTTAGCACCAACATTATTCATAACTTTATTTTTATTTAAAATGTCCTTTCAAAAAAGTTTAACAAGGAGTATAAATAGCTCCAATGTAGTGCCATTAGGTGCTAGGCTAATAAAAGGTTGGTCATTCCAACCTACCTAGAGGAATCTCTGAAGGCCGGCTTGGTGATAAGCTTCTAAAAGGTCATGGCCATGAAAACCTGGAGAACAGTTTTACTCTGCAACCCATCGAGTGGCAGTAAGTTATGATCTACTTTAAGATTATGCTTTTTTTGTTAGACTTTTAAATAACTCACCTTATAGGAATATTTCAAAATGAAAAATTTCATAAAAAGATCTTGGAAATCAACTGAGGGAAAAATAGGAGCAAACTATACTGTGGTTGTTATGTGCCGTCGAGTCACTTGGGACTAACTGCAACCCTAGGTACGAGAGCCCTAAACCCTGCTCTATCCTGTGCCAACCTCATTGTCTCTAACACACCAACTCCCAGGACCCCAGTAACTGAATCGATCCACCTCATTGAGGGTCTTCCTCACCTGCACTGTCCCTCCATCCTCCCAAACATGATGTGCCTTTCCAAGGATTGGTCCCTCCTTGCAACATGCCCAAAATATGTCAGATGAAGCTTCAGAATCCTTGACTCCAAGGAGCATTCCGGCTTCACCCTCTCCAGGACAAACCTATTTGTTCTCCTAGCAGTCTATGGAATATTCAACACTCTTCTCCAGCACCACAGTTCAAATGCATCAGTTCTCTTTCTATCATCCCTAGTCACTGTCCAGCTCTCCGTTGCATAGCACGTAATTGCTAAGACTGTAGCCCTCATCAGATGCACCTTAGTCTCAAGCCTGATGTCATTGCTCTTCCATACTCTGGAGAGGTCCCTGACAGCTAGCTGACTTTCCCAATGCAATTAGTCTCTTGATTTCCTACCAAGAGTGTTCACTGACTGCAGAGCCAAGCAAACTAAAACTGTTAACTGTCTCAATCTCTTCACCATCCATATTGATGCTACCAATTGGCCCAGTGTTAAGAATCTTTATTTTCTTGATGTAGGGTATTTTCTTTTTTAATCTCAAAAAAGAATCTTGAAACCTAGAATAGCTACCTTCCTTATATTGAAAAGGGAGTTCTGGGGATGTAGTCCTTAAAGAGTTATCCTGCTGACCAAAAGGTGGCATCTCTCTGGTGGTTCAAATTCAATTAGCTGTTCAGCAGAAGAAAGATAGGCAATTTCCTCTCATGCAATTTACAGCCTCCTAAAAATACGTTGGAAGATCAGCTATGAGTTGGTTCCAACTGGGCAACAATGGATTCAGTTGAGTTTTGTGTTAAAAGAAAAACTTATTTTAGGGGGGAATAGAAAACAAAAAGTCTAAGACATTTAAGAGTGGTCATTTAAACGTGATGTAGAGAAACAAAAGAACAAAATAATCTAATGCACGAAACATTGCCCAAAAGTGTCAGTAAAATTCGTTAATATTGCTTTTATGAACTGCAGTATTGATTCAAATGTTTGAGACAGGAAACACAATTGTTTTCATTTTACCTGTTCGTCCTTTTTACTAGGGTAAACAAGAGATGTTGTGTCCATTCCAATAGGAACCGAGTCATAGTTGCCTCACAAGCAGGTGTTCAGAAATAGTTAATCGCACAGGAGTTTACCCTTCTTTCTCTGCCAGAGCAGCCTGTGGATTCAAACTGCTTGCATTTAGGATTGCAGCACAGCTTCTTACCAATGAGCCACCAGACAGAAAATATTTTGTTTCTTCGTAACCCTGGAAATGTTGCACAATTAAAGACTGTGAATTGAGCCAGTGGGCAATATCAGTTGCTGTCAAGGTGATTCTGAGCCACTGCGTCCTTAAGTGTCAGCATAAAATTGCACTCTATATAGGGTGTTTAACCGCTGTGTGTGTCTTCAGAAGTAAACCACCAAGCTTTCAAGGTAACTCCGGGGTGAATTCAAACCACCAGCCTAATACAACACTTAACTATTTGTACCACCCAAGAACTCTTACTTGTTCAACTGCTTACCAAGAACCACATTTTGAAAATAGTAAGTTTTAATGTAATACTGCTAAATGCCTTTGACTTGTCCTCCATCCATAATGACTCCATGCATAAAAGAAGGAAGCTCTGCTTTGCACTGCCATCCTCACAAAGAGTTACTCTAATCCTGAGTTTGGCCTTAAATTTTCTTAGTGTGCAAGGAGATAACCACAGTTGTTGATTTATAAATCAGGTCAATTTACTGGAGACTTTTATTACCTATTTTAAATAAACAAAAATATTTTAAAGGACAATGAATAAAATGCCAGGATGATTAATTTGAGTTCTGGTCGTCTAGTGTCAGGAGGTTTGTGGACACCAGCTGCCTTGGGCGAAGGATGGATAATCCACCCCCATGTGGTTAACTAACTGCCTCTTAAAACCCGCTGGATGGTCAGCTATGAGTCGGTTTCTACTCTATGGGATATAACAAGAACAATCTGTCTTTGATATTTTTTTAAATCTAGTTGTGTTTTGGGGTGTTTTTTTTCCTTCAGAAGTTCTTTCTCAAGGTTTCTTTCTCTTGGGAATTCATACAACTTAGCGAAATGGCTTTAGAACATAAATCACGCTTGGAAAGGTGGAGGGTCAGAGAGAAAATTGATGTTCAAGGCGCCTAAAAAACATTGCAGCTGCGAGTAGTCTGCATATAAAACGTCATTGGTCAGAGAATCCAAATATGGAACATTAATCAAAGTAGAGAATGAAGACTTTATGATCTTGGTGAGATGCAGTGGCCTCTGGTATGCTCATAGCAACCTTGTGTACAAAAGAACAGTACCCAGGATATGGTGTTACTGGGCCCATTGTTTATCAAATGAGCCACATTTTGAGTTTGAAGGGTTCTGTGCACTGGACTCATCAAGCTTTATAAAGCCGTGCTTCTTTAGAAATAAACACTTTAGGAGTCTGCATTGTTGAATGGTTCGAGATTCTCTATATATTTGGTCATTTGTTCCCAGTGAAGGGATCCTGGCTAGTTCTGGGTTCAAGTGTAGAACGTGTTACAAGTACAGAGGCTGTGGATTGTAAATGGGTAATCGTATCTTCGCCACTCGTCCCGAAGCTTTGTCTTAGATTCTTTCCGAAGATCACTGCTCTGCGATTGCCATGCAGAGAGCAAGGTGAAGGCTGGAGCGGGGCGAGGCGGGCCGGTCCCTGCAGCGCCCGGGCCTGCACGGCGGCGCCTGGCAGAAGCCGGAACCGGCCTGGCGGACGGACGCCCTGCCCCGCGCGGCCAGAGGGCTGAGCACCACGCGCTCCCCGGGGCATTGTGTGCGCGCCGGGCAGGGATCGCGGGCCT